GCTAGTCTTAAGTCGAGATTTAAATGTTCAATTAAGTTTAACAGCTACTAAAGAATATTGACTAAAGGTTTGAAAGTACACATTTTAGGCTATACGTTGATGTATTCGCTTTTTGGATGAAAGCTGTGTATGCTAGTCAATACTGAATATCATAGTCTCGGCGGCTGCTAAGCATTGTGAGACTCAAGTCGATTTTCCAGAGCCAAATTCTTTTCCAAAATCAATGGCTAATCTGTCGAGTTACAGATGAGTAAAAGCTATTTTGACTGATTTTTAAACAATTTAAAATTGGCTGGGAATCTTCTGTCGTGAAAGAGAATATATTATAAACCTAACTGTCGGTTCAATTTTTTTCAATATCTGCTTGGTATTTTAATCACTAATTAGTGTGTAAAAACAGTTTCAAAGAAAAAAGATTAAGTGTAGTCACGTCCCATCACACAAGATCGAAAGGAAACGCTTTCGTTGAGAGAGAAAGTAGAGACATACCGCAAATAAACCAAATGGTTATGTTTACATAACATTTTTATCAATTTTTTTGTTCGACTTTTTATGATATTTATTACTTTAATGACAGTTTGTTTGATTTGTATTTTCTAATTTAGTTTTCAGATAATACAAGCAATTAAAATGGGTAAAGGAAGCCATAATCCATCTATTCTATCGTCTTCGAATGATGGGGTTGTTGTTAAGAGCACTGAGTTCATTAACGATAATTTAGCTGATATACCTCATCGTTTACCAACATTATCTGAAATAAAATTAAAAGTTCCGTCACATTGTTTTCGCCCAACAGTCATACGTTCAATGTTCTATGTATTTATGGATACTGTTTATGTTCTATTAACTTATTTAACAATGTTTTATATTCAAAAATATTTTACATACGGTTATTTATTATTTCCTCTTTACTGGTATGTACAAGGAACATTATATACGTCTGTATTTGTTTTGGGTCACGATTGTGGACACGGATCGTTTAGCGCATATCCATGGTTCAACAATATTATAGGTAAGTAACAACAAAAGACAATTTAGAACTTGAACACTGAAGAGAAATATACAAGCGACAAAAACGACAAAAATTTAAAATTCAATTCTCTTGAGATAATGCATCTAGTCGTGAACTTTCTAGGTCTTATTTGTATAACAATGTTTTCATCTTAGTATTGCGATGATGGAAACACGATCCTTCACATTAATTGAAACAATATTAAGGATACCCCGCACCCCC